AAGGCCAAATAGAATTAATGATAATCTTTGAGGGATTCCTTTCTAAAAATATAGTTGCAAGCTTTTTTTCCACAGCTGTCAACTACTCTCAGTCTAGAGGAGCTTCTGTTATAATACTGGAATATGGGCATTGAAGATCTTTCAGCTAACTACTGTACACTGCAAAATAGTCAATGACATATATTGTGTGTTTTGGGGGAAAGGTGATCTCTATCCTAAATTTATGGTTCTATATTTTTTCCCAGCATAAAGCAGTGATATGATCTTATCTTCAGGTTGTTTCCGCAGTTATAAGGTTGGCAGCAATCCACATTCTGTGCAAGCTGCTGACAAGAACTATTTAATACCCTGTGGACTCTGGGGCTATTTCACCTTAAATGACAGGTCTTCTGTGTTCTTCTGCCCTTCTTGAGGCAACCAAACTACAAGGCAATTCATTAACAGGCCATCATTTGTACCTTGGCATTGTGAAGGCCACAAACCACTTTTTTTCCCAGGCAATTCTGGCAGCAAAACCAGAAGTAGAGGCAGGAGCAATTAAAATAATACAGATTGTTTGCTCCCACTTAGAGCTGGTCTCACACCTGTACTGTGTGACACTACAAGAGCAGATTGTATTGCTTATATTATCTAGTAGCAGCAGAGAAAAAAACCTGGTGTTGGGAAAAAAACGGCTTGACTTCCATGCCAGAATTGTTCAGGTAATAAAATGAAATGATGATGATTGTACATTCTGCCTGTTGCCAGATAATAAACTGAATGGTAACAAGTGGCCAAGACCAGATGGGATTTACACAAGACTTCCAAAATGCACTGGGGGTTAACAGCTGAACTATTGGCTGGGGTGTGTGAGTTCTTGCCAAAACTGTCTTGCTTTTGGAGGTCTGAAAGTCGTCTAGTAGAATGCTAATTTTTAAAAAGTGTTTCAGGGAACTATGGCCCAGTAAACCTGGTGCCTGTACTGAGAAAACAGTAGAAGCTAATAATGAGCAGAATTTAAGGACACACTGGTAAATATAACATACTGAGGAAAACAGCATTTGTAAAAGTAAGTCATATTTCACAAACCTAGTGGAGAATCAAAAATAGGTGGATGGGTGGGATAACCAGCTGGTATTGCCTTAATGAATATCTAAAAGCCATGTGAGAAGTTATATCACATTTCTTAAAGAAGCTAAGTGTGTGTCTGTGTTGTTATATAAGATAGTTCTGAGAAGTGATCCTGGACAAGGACAGGCTGATAATCATTGCTGCAGACATGTGAGTGTCCCTGGGGATGGTCTCTGAGTGTCCAAAGTAGCTTGATCTGAAGCAAATCCCGGAGCAGCCTGGAGGAAAGCTTACTCCAGCAGCTCTATTTGTCTTGCGTTAGAGCCCAGCGCAGCCCTCCGGTACTGCCTCAACACACTCCTCATGTAACCTCGCACCGCTCATAAGTAGCGTCCCATATACCTTGCTGTCCTTTGCTGTAGAGCTTGCTAGTAGCTTATGAAACAGCTGTCATTATTTTAAGTCATTGATGCACCGAGTTGATTACCAGGGTGTCAGAAGAATCTTGCCTAGTGCTAAGGACTCTACTGCTTTTTGTAAAATATCTTCTACATCTGGGACATCAATACTGTGCTTTGCTCGAGCTGTTTCCTACCCAAAGTAGGCAGTAAAGACAGAGCGGAGAAGTGACCTTCTGACACAGTCAAGATTGCTTCTCTCTATTGCATTCCTGTTGCCCATACCAGTCTCATCTTTCTCCTGTGGTCTTGACAGCAGGCAGCTATAGAGCTGCACAGGTCACTGGGCTGATCCCAGGGCTCTGCTCTTCTGGTGGCCACTCTGCACTACCTGGCCAGTCATCCAGGCCAAAGCTGCTTTCCAAGGCATCTTTGTGGATTCAAGCTGAATCCAGCTCCCTCAAGCACTGCTCACTGTGAAAGTATCTCTCCTTGCTATGAAAATATCTGGGAGGACAGATATAGGAAACAGTAGCATTTTTGAAATGTGCTATAATTCTCTAATTTTTAAAACAGACAAACAAAATTGTGTATTGTCCTTTTCTTCCATTTTTAACAGGAAAGACCCTGCACCAACTCTTATTAGCTCCCTTCCACTTCTTCCCAGCTGAAGCCATTTGAAGGAACTCCTTGATGCCCTTGGGACAGCAATTCAGCAAGCCCAGGACTTTAGAGGAAAACATAACATGCTGGATCCGATAGCCTGAGAGCTGCAAGACTACCACAGCTCCATGCCCTCAGCTCCAACCAGTACCAGGGCTGCAGATGTGTTTCCAGCAGGCACACGCACCCAGAATACAGGCATACACCCTGCAGGGGAATCGCACAGCTGCTGGAAAGGAGTTTAATAGTAAGACAGGAAAGACTGTAATGATCAGGCACAGGGCATGGACACACAAGCGTACTGACCAGCCACTATTTGCACACCATTGTCCCTTTTTATCTCCTTACCCCTCTATTTTCCTATATTTGTTCCTGCCCAGATCACCTGATCCCCTCCTCTTCCACACCTTTGATTCCTCCGATCACTAGCCCTGTGTGATCCCGACAATGTGCCCCACACCCCCTGGCAGCAGTCTTCCTCGGTTCGAAAGGAGAGTGGCTCCCTGTGGCTCATGATGGTGGGTTTCACACCTGGATCCTGGGGCATGTGCTGCATCAGGACAGCCCTGAGAGGGGCCTGGCAAAGGTGCCTGATCCTCAGGGGTCCCCACTGCACCCTGGGCTTGGAGGAGGAGTGCCTTTGATGGGCTGATGGCTCCTGTGATGGGCCTGGGAGTAGCTGAGCAGGGTGTTATTTGGGCTCCCCCTCCTGCCATTGTGTCTCTGTGCTGCTTTGTGGGTGTGCAGACAAGTTTTTATCACATAACCTAACACAGGCCACTCAGATGTTGCCTGCATGCTAGCTGGGCTTCCTCTGTGAGTCTGTGTTTCCATAGGAACAATGTGGCGTCTGCAACAGGAGGTAGAAGAGAGACCTTAAGAGGCACACGCAGCTCTTCCAATGATGTTTTGGGGTTCATTCCTGTTACCGCCCTGCTCCAAGAAGTTGCTAGGGTCAGCTGTTCCAGGGGTGGGATCAGCTCCTCAGTCAAGCCCAGTCTCTGCAGCGTGTCATACCAGTGGGGAAGACCCTGGCTACAGCCTTATGTCTGAAGAGGTTCAGTAGAAGTCAGCCAGGCAGAGACGATGTCATGGCTGAACCACACTGAAGTCTTATTTTCTTCTTTCTGTAAAAGCATCCATAGGATTGAGCCTTTTCCACTTAATGCTTTTGCTTTCCTTCAGACTTAGCTGACATATGGTGGTTGTGAGTGAATGGTTTTGGCTATTTAATGTTTGTTGTTGGAAATGTTTGCCCAGACCAGAGATGTTTTTCCTTATTGCTGTTCTGTTTTAAGACTTAGTTGCAGCAAGGCACTGCTTTGTAATGGGCATAGTATGGCATTGCAATAGTCTCTTCAGGCGATATCGGACAGCATCCCGCTATCAGACTAGAAGGCAGAAACCAGGCTGACAGGAGCATAAAGACTTGGTAGCACTGCTCTGTGGACACAGAGTGTGAGCAGGCATGGAAAAAAGGTTGAGGGCAGGGCTGGTAACACACAGGCATGGTGTGATCACATGGATTTGCGGCAGACAGGGATGGGGTAAATCACAGATGCAGTTGGAGGGGAAGCAGAAAGAGTCAAACTTGATGTTTTTACTGGTGTTAGTGTAATGTCTGAGGCCTCATCAGCATGTTGTTGTGCCATTTGTGAGTGTTGTGATGCCAGATAGGCTAGGTGACAGCTTTCACGTTTTTTTCTGGTGCCAGTGATGTCACTTGAATGGCCCAATACTGTACAGAACCTCAAGAGACCAGATCTGTTGCAACCATTTTGGCTGGCACAGCTCCCCAATGTCTTTGCACAGTGTCTGCAAGGTGTGTCAGGCTAACAAAGAGAGAGAGAAGCGATTGCCCAGCCTCTTCAGGGTCTGATTGCTCACAGTCAGCCTGTTAGACACAGCTGAAGTAGACGTATGATCTGCAGTGCTCCACAGTCAGAGGAGGCTTGCACACATGTATCTTATAACCTTGGAAAGCCTGTGAAGAATTTAGCATTTCCATCTTCAGACTTGGTTTGAATAATACTCATTAATCAGAAAAACAAAGGGGAAAATTTACTGAAGAGCTCTCTGTCACTGAAAGCTGTCTTTTGGATGTCTTAAATTAAGAATCAGACCTGTGGAAAACAACTAAAGGTTATATAACCTAATACATAATCAGAAATGACTGTGGTAGACTGAACACCAGTCATAATTCTGTCTTTTCCTAACCACTCCATGGTTAGGAAGCTTAATAACTTTATTTTTTTTTAAGAGGAAACGGGACAGTTGTGAATGACTGGCAAACCATTCAGAATGGTGACCAGTTCTGAGACCTGCAATATTTAGCCTAAGCTGTGTTCACTGAGAAGTACAATGGCTGCAAGACTGATCTGAGACAGTGGTGTCTCAATGCCAAATGGCAGATACATTGTGGGCTATATCACTCCTCTCAGAAACAGGCAAATGAAGAAACTACAAACAGAACTCTACTGTGAGGAAAGCGACTTCATAGTGCTGTTTATCATAGCCTTCTGCTCTGGTCCTCTCCAAAGCACAGCAGATATAGCGCCACAGCCTCATTGTCCATTTAACATTGGGATATGAAAGGAAGAAGATGATATGAGACCTAAGAAGATGGGAGAGATGAGGAAGAAAGTTTTCGGGTATGGCCCAACTCAAAATGAAGGTAATAGGCACTTGGGAACCCTGACAAGTCACCAGGTTCATCATACCAGTCAAAAAAGGAGTTGGACAGGCCCATATAACACTAGTGAATTAGACCACTTTAACAGTGGCTGAAACACTTTGAAAATACCTGAAGCAAGATTGAATGACTATCAATAAATAAGGAAAATGAGAATTCAGGATAATGATTAAAACACAACAGTGAACTTCTCATTATTTCCATGGGAAAATCTCTTCAATTTTTATTTTTATCTAGGCGTTAATTATCTAGAGATTGATGAAGGACTAAGCAGTGATTACAAAACCAAAGTGATAGAATTCCACATTTTGTGCAATTCTCTTTCACTTTGCACCACTGGAGGCATTTACTCTTCACTTTCTGCCTTCTTGCCAAATTCACGGCTCTTCACTCGGAGCTTGTTGATCTGCGACTCTGCAATGTCAGCCCGCTCCTCGGCTTCCTCCAGCTCGTGCTGGATCTTGCGGAACTTGGAGAGGTTGACATTGGACAGCTCCTCCTGGAGATAGGAAGAGAGATAAAATAGGTTATAAAATGTTTTATAATGTTCCTACCGTAACATTGCACTGGACACACTGCAGTATTTTGCCTTTACATAATAATAAAAAACCCAAGACTGTGAGTTAGTATGTAATTCTCTCTAATACTTCTAGCAGGAATCCAAAGAAATAGCTTAAATGCTAAATGTTCAGATGGTTAATAAGTTATACCAGGAATCCCTCTCTGGATATGAAGTGCTAATTCAATTTGGATTTTTTCAATAATTATGTATAGTTACAGTTATTTCTATTAAATAATTTTCCATTTATTTACTACTATAAAATGATGTATTACAATTTTTGAAGGTAATTTTATTTTTATGCTAGGCAGAAATATGTAATAAAGAAAGTGAAAGGAAGCAGAACCCTACTCCCACAAAGTTGACCTAAGCCTTCGCTGCTCTTCCCAGTGATGCAATAACGCTCACAGAAAATCTATTCTACACCCCTCTAGACCCTTGACGTGTTCAGCCAGAACAACTGTTCAGCTGTTCATTCCTAAGTGCACAGTGAGAAAAAGACAAAAAAAAATATGTGTTGAACAGAGCTACGCAGGGGAAAACACCAACAGAGAATTCCTCCTCTACCAGGATGGAGACTGACTCTGCACACAGCAATACTTACAGCCTCCTCAGCTTGTCTCTTGTAGGATTTCACTTTCATTTGCAGCTTGTCCACTAGATCTTGGAGCCTGAGAACATTCTTCCGGTCTTCCTCAGACTAAAGAGAAGCATAAGAAAGAGAAGCACCTCTTTGACTCTCCTTTTTAAATGCCCTCTACATAAACCAGTAACGTTTCTTACAGACCATTGCAAGAAGGTGTGTCAGCCCAAGGAGGCCTCCTGCCTTACCTGGTAGGTCAGCTCCTTCACCTTCCTCTCGTACTTGCGCACACCCTTCACGGCTTCAGCGCTGCGCTTCTGCTCAGCATCAACCTCCCCTTCCAGCTCCCGCACCTGCAGCGAGAAGCCCATCTTTGCAGCTTCCCTGGTGTCTCTCCAAGGGACGTGCTCACTCGTGCAAAAATACCAGCCCTACGCACTCTGGCCTCCAGCTTCTGGATTTGCTGCTTGCCACCCTTCAGCGCCAACTGCTCAGCCTCATCCAGACGAAGCTGCAGGTCCTTCACCGTCTGGTCCAGGTTCTTCTTCATCCTCTCCAGGTGGGCGCTGGTGTCCTGCTCCTTCTTCAGCTCTTCTGCCATCATGGCTGCCTGAAAAGCAAAGGGTCAAAGCCATTTTGGGGCTGGGGATATTTTGAGGAGAATACATCCACCATCAGCAGTGAGAGGAGCCCCCAACTCACATCTGTGATGGCCTTCTTGGCCTTCTCTTCAGCATTGCGGGCTTCCTGGATCGTATCCTCCATTTCACTTTGAATCTGGGCAATGTCTGTTTCCAGCTTCTTCTTGGTGTTGATCAGGCTGGTGTTCTGTTGAAAAGCATCAGAGGGTTTTTTTTTGTTAGCTCACAATTTCAAATCAAGAACATTATGGGATTTTGAATCTTTTCAGACATAATTATGTGAAAAATCAATACCATTTGTTTTCTCTTCAGCAACTAATTTTAAATTTGAAGAGAGTACTTTGAAATAGAATTTATGCCACATCTCATCCACCAAGGCTGGCACAGGAAAATAATAAAAATAGAGTGAAGGAAATCAGTGAAGTGCCTTCTCTTCAACATAATTAAGGAAGAGTAATCCACTCTCATCAATTAAAAAGGGAAAAATTTGTAATGTAGATAGGATGGATACCTTCTAGAACCTTTTCAGCATTTGAAACCAGACACTTTCCATAGATTTCAGCACTTGACTGCTGGCTGAACTGCTATGACATGTTGCTCATGTGAAAGTCTGCTTGACATAGGCTTCATCAGATCCAGGACTTCATCCCCACTTTCTTGCTAGACTGGACAAGCACATATTTGAAAGAATATGAGGATTCCCTAGTGCTACATTTCAACTGAGCAAGGAATAAATGTTGCTCTAGTCTCAGAGTTTCAGTCAGTAAGTGGGCAGACCACATGGCATGTGTGACTAAAAAAATCTGGTCCCTGTGACTAATTGTCTTTCCTCTGGAGATTATGTTAGGATGCAAAGAAGGTAGAAGCATGGGTTTCATCAAATGCAATCTGGGAACATATCCAGTGTACAGACTTTTCCAGCAAATATCTCTTTTATTATCATGATGATTACTTCAGAAAAGATAATTCTCATCTTTGATGTTAAGCCTCCAAAGATGACTGGAATAAAGCATACAAGTTTTCTCATGCTTACCAAGAGTGCCATTTATCACCAAGTGGCCTCACCTGGGTATGGAGGAGCTGCACACGCTCACTTGCATCCATCAGTTCCTGCTCAGCCACCTTTCTACACCTCTCTGTTTGTTCTAGTGCTGCCCGTAGCTCCTCAATTTCAGCCTGCAGCAGGTTTGCTCTGCGCTCCACCATGGCCAGCTGCTCCTTCAGGTCTTCCTGTGTCCTGAGAGCATCATCCAAGTGTATCTGGGTATCCTGAAGTGCCATTGAAAAAAATTATAAGCAGATTCAAAGCTGTTTGGAACCAAAAATATCAGCGAAGACATTTCGCTGTAGGCAACTGTGTTCAACAGACCTTGAGCACTCCCTGTGTGTTTTTCAGATTCTTTTGTGCCTCTGCAGCCTGGCGGTTGGCATGGCTCAGCTGGATCTCTATTTCATTCAGGTCTCCCTCCATCTTCTTCTTCAGTCGCAGGGCTTC